CAACCGGACCAGGACACCTTTTCACCATACTTGTAATTGGCTGAGGCACGTCTTACAAGCAGACTACTTTGGTTAGGAACAGAGTTCCAATTAAATCATAAAGATCCAACTCCTGGCTGGATGAGTGAGTAAAATCATCCGACTTGTCATTGATGACCCCAACTTACTGCCTCTGAGTCGTCCATCCATTTGACCGAGACTCAGTTAAGTCTAACCCAACGTGCAACAGCGACCACGCTATGGCGGTTCCCGTAACCAGCTTAACATACACCGTACTATGCTCTGCTGAGGCTGAGTACATGACAGTGCACATTAGCCGGATAGGTGCCGGACGTCAGAAGGCAACAGACTTAATATTCGTGAGGGATTTATAATTTTGATCTCACCTATCGACATGGCCGCGCACATGTCCATTACTAGCGTTCAACATACATTCAACATGCATTCACAAAACGCAGTAAATAAACGTGTAATGATTGTGGCCCCTAAAAGAAAAATAAAACGATAGCTCCCACTGGCTTCCGGGCATTTGAACTTCGGGCTATCTCCATTCTTTTAGATTTCTCCAAATGGTCATCAAATCTTTTCGTCTTCTAACCACCACGTGAGAAAAGAATCCTCGGTTGAGGTAAGAGAGAGAAATAGATTTACAACAAGAGTTTAAGAGATAAGGCACGACACGCAGGCCGTATTATAATCAAATAAACTATAGCCACAATCATCCACCATGCATATTATACATCCACACAAGCAATAGAGATATACATACACCGGGTGAATCGCGCTCACCCCAGACAGTTCTAGAAAAATACTACGGCAGTAAATATTTTCTAAAACTCATAAAATTAAATTAGATGTCCAAATAAATCTAATAAGATTTTATAAAATCATTTTACATACTCTGGATATTCTGCCAGCATAAAAAAAATCCAGAATATTCAAAATGACCAAAATGCCCTTTTGCAAAATTATATTCAAAAAGCCATTAAAATTTTGAAACAATTTTGCAAAAATCATGAAAATTAAATTTCAACTTCCAGTAATTATTTTCAACATTTATAAACCTGGAAATAAAATTTCCAAAATTTATAAATCATTATTTCCAAAATATATTAGTTAAATCTCAATAAGTTATAAAAAGCCATTTAAATTGATTTCGAAAATATTAAATTACAAAAATTTAATATTTTGAAAAACATTCTTTTTCTTACTGAGATATAACTTTCCAAAATATA